CTTTGCACTACCAAATAGTGAATACCGCTCATTAAATGATGCATGGAGGTATTAAATTTAACATTAATCTTGTCAACAATTTAATTTTGTCTCGATGTATTCGCATTGTGTTTAATAACGATAATTAGAAAACTATGGATTTAGATCCATAATTAAACGATGAGAACTATTTTATAAACGTATATTAATACAAATTTATTAGTAATATTTGCAGTTACAAAACTTTTATAATCCATGAAATGTTGAGCTATGATAAATAAATATGACAGATATGTAAGGTTATAATCGACGTTCAGTTTATAAAACAAGAGAGAGCATGATTATATTTTTAATTAATTTAATTTTTCAAATTAATGCGACTTCTAATTTTTAATGAGATACTTTTAAGTCCAAAAAATTATGTCACCATCTTAGTCGACTTTTGGCCTTCGCGAACATTTAGAGTGAAAATTGTAGGTCAAAAACAGTATAAGATTTCATATTGAATTTGAAAACAATATATAAAGTCCATCTACAAATTAACTCGACTAAAAACCGATCAAACTTTTAAAACTTTTTAGTTTCATTAGATTAGAAACAGCATAAAATATTCATAGTTGCTCAATTATTTTACTAAAAGGTTATTTAGACTTAAAACAGATCAAAAATAATTTTAATAGTAGATGAAATACCGATAAAAATGTTTTTTAAAGTTCAAATACAGATCAATAAGTTCAAATGCAGATCATTTAGCTTAAAATCAGTTTAAATTTTTCGACTCGGGTACACAGTTATATCTTTGTTGAACTTTATATAATTACTTAACCTTTTATAAATTTTATATAATGTTAATTAAATTTGTCATTTTTTGCCGATCGACTTTGGTATAAAATAAAGAATCTAATTTGGATGAAATTAATCAATAACGACTTAACCAACATTTTTAAAAAAATCGAGTTATTATGATGAACGTACTTAGTATCATAAGATTACTTGGTTCGTCATAATAACTCGATTTTTTTTAAATGTTGGTTAAGACGTTATTGCTTAATTCTATCCATTTAATCTAATCCAATCACACTAAAAAAAAAAAAATTAACTTGATTCAAGAGAGAAACCCTTGAATCAAAAATATTATTCTGAAGAGTTTCATCGTTTTAAATCAATACGAAAAATTCTTGAATCAAGTAAAAACTCTCTAAACCAGTTGCCAATTTCTTAATTCAAAAATTTTTCTGCTTGATTGTAGATTATGAAACTCATAAAAATATCTTTCTTGGATCAAGAATTTTTCTTATAAACTAAGTTCATTTTTTTCAGTGCATATATAATCATATCATGATTAAAAACATTTACCATTATCTCGCCATTCTTCTACTTCATAATCATTCGGTCGTTGTCGATATTTCTTGTTTCCATTTTTTGCTGAAATAAAAAAAATCAATAAAAATTGATTGGTCATCGAAAGTCAGTTAATTTTTCATTTGAAAAATTTTCGAGAGGTTTTTTTTAAATAAAACATTTATCACTTCTTTCAAAACTTTACATCAAGCTCTTGGGGGTATAAGTGTCGTGAATTGGCTCTAAAAAATTTTTTAAATGCCGTTTGGAAGATACTTAAGAGCATGGTTGATTAGACGGCAGCTTCGTTATAAAGATGAATTTGTGAAGTCTGACATAGAAAAAATGAATTATGCGATAAAGCTTGCACGTTCTTTTTAAAGGATGCGTAGACTTGGACCTTTAAATGTAATACTCGTATATCTTGACCGAACAAAACGTTGCCATTAACCTTCGAGGATCTACTGCTTGTGGGTACTTAACCACAACCACCCATCTGAACATTACCCTCCACCAAAAGAGCAATAAAGGTGAACAATGGTGAGTTGAAAATGAATGAAAAAATGCTTCAAAATTTTAAACGCCTTACTAAGGGTAGAAGAAGTGGAAACGAGATTGCGTTCCATTTTGATAATCTAATCAGAACAAGAATTTGATATAAAATAAACTTGTGGTAAGGCTTGCGTCTACTTTTGATCTGAGCTCATAGGGTGAAATTCGAATGTAGATGCGTCCCTACTTTTATCATAATATAATCAATAAGTGAAACGTCGTCGTACGAGGATATTGGCATTAACCTTTTCCACGTTTCTTGATGAAATATTAAAAGTTGGGATATTATTGCTATGTGCGTAATTGAAGAATAGTTATATTATTTTAATTATACTGTGCTTAAATGTCCGCGGAACGATTGTTGAATTAAAGAATACATTACCATTTTTTTTTATTAACGAAGTAACGTAGTAGGTAGCTTGTGTTGTCGTAGTTGATGGTGCAGGAATTTCTGAAACATATATTTTATGAATTACAGAATAAATGAACATTTTTCTATGTTGATGAAAATTTTGTTTTTTTTTTTTTTCATTATTTTTATTGCGGGTTTAGATATAAAACTGAAAAAAAAAAAATTAGGGAAGTGGAGCAAACTTCTACATTGATGAAAATTATACTTTTTGTGACACACATGATTAAAGAACTAAAAAAAATCGAGACATGAGTTTAAAAAAAAATGATCTTTACGAATAAGAAAATGTGTGTTTTATTTTTTGAATAGACATTTTGCGTTACAGATGCCATAAGGGCGTATAGGCCGATTATACGTCCTTATGGCACCCGGGAACCATAAGGGCGTATAAAATTTTATTTTGCATTTCTCGGCGTTTCAGATCAAACTAAATTGATTCTCAAATATTATTTTTTTTATACGTCCTTTTGGCTCCCGGTACCTGCGTGGGATACCATAAGGGCGTAAAAAAATTTTTTTCGCGGGAATCGACGTAATATCATCCGAAACGTCGAGAAATGCAAAAGAAAAAATTTTACAAAATTGGAAATTTTTTATACGCCCTTTTGATATCCACCACCAACCTCGGATGACAAAAGGGCGTATAAAAAAAATTTTTTTTTCGGAATCGCTGTATTTTTGTCTAAAATGAATTAATATGCAATAAAAAAATTTTTTGAAGAAAATTTCAAATTTTTGAAAATGTTTTTTTTTTTTTTTTTTCCATTTCTGGACGTTTCTCACAAAATTACTTTGATTTCCAAGAAAAATTTTTTTCATAAGCCCTTATGGCATCCAAGGTAGGTCCCCCCAAGGTAGGGCACTTTCGAAAATTTTTTTTTTCACATTTTTCGAACGTACATGTATCTAAAAACTCCTGATCGAGGACGTGTTAACTGTTTTGGGCGACGGATCGCGGATTAAATTTTGGTAAGATTTTTTATTTAAATAAACTTAAAACGCGTTTTTTTCAAAACTACGTTTTCACGGACGGCCAATTTTAATCACATATTCTACACATTAATACTCACAAAAGTAACTATTATCATGTTAAAATAATGATTTTTACTATTTTTTTTATAATAGCGAAAAATAAAACAATTTTTTGAATTTTTTTTGGTTATTGTTGTTTAAAATTAACAACAATTGTTCAAAATTATAATCAATATTTTAGTCTATTTTTTAGTCATTGTCATACTAAGTCTATAACACTTCGGTTTTTTTTTTTTTCGGATAAGCCGTTGCCGAAATATCGTGTAGGAACCGAACTGCCTCCAAATTACGGCGTTCCGTTTAATTACGAATGTTTTGTGAAAAAACTGAAAAAAATTTTATTTTTGTAATTTAAGACTTCATTTATCATCTCTAACAACTTTTATAAATATATCCTTCATATCGTGCTCACGAAAATTTCCCAAAAATCGCCTATTTTTTAGCTGACGAACTAGACTATACCCTTAATATTAAAAATAAAAAAAATATTATTCTAAAATAAAATGGAACAAAAGTAGGAATTTTATGGAGAAATAGCTCATATAAATTAGGCTACTATAAAATATTTTATACATACTCACCATCTAATTTTATCACCCCATCCGTGCCTCCAAGGGAGTTTTGCGCGACACACTTATACGATCCAAAATCTTTGGGTCCAACATTTCGGATTTTCAGCATCATGTACTTATTGTAACCGCTATCAGTGTATAGCGCTTCATATTTTTCACCTGCAATCGAATGGTAATAGCCTGGGCAAGTAAAATCAATTCTTTATTTGTAATTCGATAGTTAATATAGATTCCTAAGAAAATGCCGAAATTATAACTATACTTTCGTATACTTTTCATTACCTTGCTGATTATAAAAATATCATTTTAGTAAAAAAACTTTTAATGTTTTGTATACTTTAAAAAAGCCACTTCATTCAAGAAAAATATTTTCCTTCATGGTTTTACTGGTGGTCCCAGATAATTTTCTGGATTCGAAAAATTAACTCAATAATCAATCAATTGAAACTCGCGAATAAGTAGACCCCCATGAAAAAAAAATATAAATAATATATATTTCGAAATATATAAAAATATGTTTTAAATATATTAAAAATCTATAAAAAATATATATTTTATATATTTTAAAAATATTTTAGATATATTTAAGATATATTTTAAAATACATAAAAAATACATAGCTAAAAATATAAAAAAAATATATTTTTAATATATATTTTATGTATTCGAAATATATGAAATATATATGAAAATCGGCCAAAAGTTAATTATTAAAAATATATTTATTATACATATTTATAGATTTTTATTATATTTAAAATATATTTTTTATATATTTCGAAATACATATTTTTTATATTTTTTTTTCATGGGGGGAAAGTTTTCCAGGACAATTTTACTCTGACGAGGCACTTTTTACTGAAACAAGGCACACATTTTTGATGGATATTAAAAAATGTCCAAAAATTGAGAAAATCAAAAATAAAAATTCTTTAAATCGTCCGATTTGGCGTCGACTGCCCCACACATATTTCGTTCAAAAAGTTTGTTTTTTGGATTAAGATATGATTTAAGATCGACTTATTTCAATAATTCTGTTAAAAGTAGAAATTTTTAAATTTCTGCTACTATCCATTTAAAAAAAGTCTAAAATTCATTTCAGATCATGTGGAAGTAAAAATTTCATTTCTTTTTGCTATTCTATAGCTAGCTTTCTATACGGTCAAAAATTCTAAAATTTCGAGATTTGTTACTAAATCTTAAACTGTGAAAAAAAAAATCTGTCGAAAGTTGTTGGACGTAGGAACTATCTTAAGCCCGACAACCAGCTGTGTTGAAAATAAGTTTCTCAGATCAGGATTATTTCTCTTGAATGTAAATGGTTTTTTTGAAAGTCTAATTTTATTGTCAAAATGACAATTTGCAAGAGAGTATATTCAAATTGAAAATAATCTAAAATTGATATTTAGATGATAATCATACAAGATATTGATCAACTATTCAAATTATCAACTACTAACTCAATTGATTTAACATGAAATATAAATTTACCCGAAACAATCATGTCACCTGTCTCCGTCGTCCAATAATTTATTGATGTAGGATAAGCTTCTGTATGACATTCTAAAGTAACATCCTGACCAATGTAGGCTCCTTCCAATTGATTTGGTATGGACAACATTGGCGGAACTAAAAATAAATTCAGCAATATTGTATTAGATTCTAAAGAGAAAAAAAAAAAGTAATCTCAAAACTCAAAAAACAACGTGTAATGTCAGTATGCAGAATAACTTTTCAAGTTTACTTTGATAATGAATTATTAATATGATAATGAAATTAATTGCTGAAACGAGTTGTTCTAATCTAATAACTTACATTGCACTCGAACATCAACGCGTGCACTCACTGAAGGAGGTACTTCGTTGCTTGCTATGCATAAATAAGCGCCCATATGTAATCGACTGATTTTTACGATATGAAGAACCTCACCGTTGACTACGCTAACTGAAATAACGACAAAGGTATGATTAGTATAAAATTATAACTAATATTATTAAATAGATCCTTATTTTTGCTACGATGGTATAATATTATAGTAATTATAATTATAGTTAAGATAATAAGGACAGTTTATCTCCGATAAAATGTAATTTTTTTTTCAACTTCCCGCTAAGAAAATTGAAAATTTCAATCAGATCTCGACGTTTTGAGATCCTAGGAAGCTTTCCTGATCATTTTTATGAAAAGGTTATGACCTTTGGAAGGCTTGGCCGATTTAATTGCAGTTGGCGTCAATCGAAAAAGCTTGACCAAACTTAGATTTTTTAATACAACTTGGAACAATTCAAACTGGTAGATTTTGAGAAGTCTCAAAATAACTACGAAAAACCTTTTTTTTCAGGTGTATTTTTTTTGGAATAACTTTTAAACGGCTTTGCCGATCGATTTCAAAAACTGATCAGCTCCTAAGGGGGAACACCACTGTGACGATCGAAAAAAAGAGGTGATTTTCGGGAATTTTTTTGACAGGGAAAATAAAGGAATTTGGGGATCGGATTTCTTTTATATTATTAAGGGTACATTAAAGATTATTACTCTAAATTTTTATTGAAAAATATTTAATTATTACAAAGTTATTAACAATCTCGTATTAGAGCATTAGAAAAAATTTTGAAAATTTTAATTTTTTTAAAAATGGCGACTGATTGAAACTTTTCTCACTATTCTCACCGTTTTTTTTTGTTTTAACCTGGCTAAAAGAATCTTTAAAATAAAAATTTTTCAAATTCCGTACGTGCGACGATAACTACATCCTTACTGATTAAAAAGCAATTTGAGTTTTTATTTTCAGATGATCTGTTTTTGAGTTATCGAACCGACCGTGGAGGGGGGAAATTTTCTCCTGCTCTACGAGATTGTTAATAACTTCGTGCGACGATAACTACATCCTTACTGATTAAAAAGCAATTTGAGTTTTTATTTTCAGATGATCTGTTTTTGAGTTATCGAACCGACCGTGGAGGGGGGAAATTTTCTCCAGTGCTCGACGAGATTGTTAATAACTTTGTAATAATTAAATATTTTTTAATAAAAATTTAGGGTAATAATCTTTAATGTACCCTTAACAAAATAGAAAAAACCTGATTCCAAAATTCCTTTATTTTCCCTGTCAAAAAAATTCCCGAAAATCACCTCTTTTTTTCGATCGTCACAGTGGTGTTCCCCCTTAACATAAAAAAACCACGTCGATCGCCGTCGGGCTGGTCGAAATTGGTTGATTCGTCCGTGAGTTATCGTTGACGAAAAAAGTAATTTTTTCGAATTACTTCGAAATTTTTGGTCTGATCAGTTTGTTTTTAAAAGTAAATCATGGAACTCAAAAACCTGCGTCGAATTTTGTTAACCTGGTGAAAATCAGTTTTCTTATTCCAAAGTAATTACAGTTTGAAAATTTAAATAGTGTTTTATTAAACTGCTATTAGATTTTTGAGCTCGAAAGCTTAGAACACCTAACTGAGCTCTTTGAGCTCAAAATGTCACACAAATTATATTTTTAAGCTTGAAGAGCTCAAAAACGTCATGAGTGCAATTCTACGCGTTTAGGTATGGAATTAGCGGGAAGTTGCAGGGATGGCCTTTAGGGTCAACCGTTTTCCTAATTTTTCATTTTATACGTACCCTTTTTAAATTAAACAAAATGATTAAAAATGATTCTACATATTCAACGCCTAGAAGAGATAATATTTAGAATGATTTTAAGGATCAGAAAGTATTCAAAATAATTAAAAATTAAATAATTTTTGATATTGTTTAATCATTTGGTTTAATAAGGGTGTATGAATGTCAAATATTAATCCATACACAGAAAAAAAAATTCTTGAACTAAGAAATTCTTCTTGGTTTAATTAAATTTTACTTGATTCAAAACAATGAAATTCTTGACAATGATTTTTTTAATTCAAGAATTTTTATCTTTAATCAAATTAATGTTTTAACGTATAATTAAGAGAATAAGGAAAGTTTTGTGACATGCAAATCTTTATTTAAAAAAGAGCTTATGTGATATAATTAGGCACCATCAGATCTATCAAGCTATCATGGATTCGTCCATCATGCATTGACTCATTATTCAAGCAACAAAATTATTTGTTGTGCTAAATTTGTTATTGCTAATTAGTTGCTCCATTTAGAATTTCGTTGCTTGTTTAGATTCCGAGAAATCAATAATAATATCCGTCCAAAATGTATTTTGCTAGTTTGCAACTGCCAACTTAACGACGCTTTTTTCATGATTTTGCATATTTTTTGGTGACAGTCAATTTCTTATGTTAAATTTCAAGAGCAGTTTCGGAGTTTGTTCCGTAACATTTTCCATAAAATAATTGATCCTGTCATATTAATAATATTCTTCAAATTTAATTCAAAAGTACCTAAATCATGCATACCGTGATCAGAAATATTAAAAAGTCATGAAGTCAAAGTTCTTTTATTCACAATTCGTAACTTTCGGCAGTCACATATTTATTTGTTGGAATCTAACGAACGAGTCAAACTATTCTTCTATTTAAGCCACCGGATGACATTGTTTGCATTCGGTTATTATAGTTGTTCATTATATACCTAAATGTATGTTACTGTTAACTCACCACTTTCTCCATTATAATTAATATTCCTGCCATCTTCGCGCCGCCACATTACATATGGTTCTGGATATCCGACCGCTTTGCATACTAACGTTACATTTGAAGCTTCCCTTACAACCATGTCGGTACTCGTTTCTTTTGCGATAATTTTTGGAGGTACTAAAGAAAAAATTATTTGCTTAATTTCTTGATCATGAGTCATGGAAGAATGATAAACAAAATTTTATATTCACTTACCGACTACTTGAAGATATCCTTGGAGGCTTCGCATTGGGTCAGTATTAATTTGACACATATACCAGCCTCGATCTATTTCTTGCACGTTTTTTATGTGAAGATACCATGAACGATGATCATTATATGATAATGATATTCGTGGATTTTGTGTGATGACGTTATCATGGATTGAAAGAATCGTTTGAGTATCAACTCTCACCCATGCCACCTACAAAATGCATAATACATATCTATTATACTACGTAATGTATGGCATCATTTTCATAATGTTTTGATGGAATGTACAATTATTTTAATGTATAATGTATATTGAGTAAGGCAAAGTTATATTTATTTAGTTCTGAGTTTTGTAAATAGTTAAAATCTTTTGACAGATACATCGATGTATCTTTATTGTATTATTTTTGTTCTGTTATAGTCAATTGAACACATTTTCAATTGAGATGAATTTTTCCATAAATTTTCAATCATAATGTTCAAGTACACTGAGAGAAAAAATTTCTTTTAAAAAAATGGGCATTTCACAGTAACTTTATTGTTGGAAAAAAAATTTTTTTTGATTTGGAAAAAAAAATTTTAGATAGATAACTTTCAAATTTTCATACAAAATTGTTTTTTTTCCAAATCTAGAAAACTTTTTCCAACAATAACGGTAATGTGAGAACAATTTTGATTTCTTCAGTTAAGGAATAAAATTTTTAACAAATTAATATCTTATTCCAAAATTACTCATATTTTTCGAAAGAAATTTTTTCTCTCAGTGTATGGACGAAATATTAACGAATAAATTTCAATAAAAATCTCAAACTCGACCCTACAGACCATCTCTAGATCTTCCCGTTATATTCGATCTCATAACGCTCGATAAATTTCCTATAACGAAGTTTTGAGCTGTTTACAATTAAAAACAGCCAAATGAATGAGACAAAAAAAGTTAGTTTAATCTGGAGACAATTAAAAACGAGTTAGATACAATAAATAATAATATGACAAATAATATAATAAATAAATTATCGAAAATGCACCATGGTCTTGAACTGGTCTGGATTGAGAATAGTACGGACAAAAACAGATTGAATTTTTATGTAAAATCGATACACATATTGAACTTCAATTAAATGACAAATATTGAAAATTTTTATTTATTCTGTAAAATAGATTAAATTTTTCGATAGGGACAGTTTATACGGTTTATTTATTTAAAATAAAGTAGGCAAGTTCTGTTAGTGACCAATAAGTCTATTATCATTAATGATTTAATAAAAAAGTAGAGAAAATAGTGTAGAGCATCAATGTATCAACTTATTGGAAAGTATTGTAAAGACGTTCAATATATTTTTATCATACCTGGTAATGCTTCAGATTATTTACTATACAAGCCAATAACGCATCTCGACCAATGCTAACTGTGACATTAGGTATTGGCTCAGCAAACATAGGAGCAGGCTCATCTGCAACTGAAAAAATAATTTCCTTTCATTTTTTCACCAATAAGTTCTTCAAAATTTCAAGTTTTTATTACGTTCAGAACATTATTTTTCGTCATAATCGCTCAGTAAGTTCAATTTTCAAGAACTATTTGGCGCCTGCAAAGGTACTAATTTCTAGAGACTCTACTTCACCGCCTATTTTTTCCGACCGAAATCGCAAAATTTACCTCCCTTCATTTTTCCTATACCTATATTTTTCTTTCACAATCAGACGAAATTGAGAGGGATTAAAAAGAAAAAAATTACATTTGAGCTTACCGATCGAAAATTTTGAATATTTAATCGATTTAGTTACTATTGAGCAGCGCTAATTTCTTTTATATTGCTGTTGATTGCGAAGGAGATCGAATGTTAGTAGAATAACAAAATGCACTTAGATAATCATTGTGCTTTTAATAAAAGTATTAGAATTCAAATTTTCGCGCGCAAGCGCGTGCCTTGACTATATAGAGTTTGCATATATTTTCATGCTTATGGTATATTGAACCAATCACGTTACGAATAGTTTGATGCCACATACATTTCATCTCAATTTTATATTAGGATTGTAAAACATTTATAAAATAATTAATGTTTTTTTACAAGTAATAAAAAATAAATTTATAATTTTTAATTGTTATAAACAATTAAATAATTACTCACGGAAATTTGGTTGAAATGTAAGATGTAATTATTAGGTTCGTATCTTCTCAAATAGGACTTGCTGAGTGATGATGACAAAACATTTTGTCCGTCATTCAGTCGTTAAAAGGCGATCGAACACTATCGATTTTGCGATATTCGTTTTAAAGTTTTTGACACGACCTAACGAAAATGAGAGTAAATTAATTTTCTCAGCATCGCCTTGGATGTCAATTTTACACCTTTTTTCGTGAATTCACGCCACAAACCTTAGGTTCATATCGCAACATCGATTTTGTCGGAAAATCGTTTCTATGCGGCCTAATGACGCAAATTACTCTATTATAACATTTATCAGAATCTTTCTGTCGATTAAATATTATTTCAGTTTTATAGCTTTCATAGTAAGAAAATTGTGTATTTATGGCAGAAAATTCTATATGTTAGTAAAGTAACAGTTTTTTGTATGTTCAGTTATTTTGATCTTCAATAACACTTTTTGCGTGTTATTTAAAAATCAACACAAATTTTGTGCTAAATTCTCAACACTAATTCTAAGATTGTGTTGATTAACGATGCAATGGTTTTTTCTAATATATATTTTTTCTTACCACAGCTATAATATTTGATATTTATAAATGATAATCGAAAGTTAAAAATATTTTTTGTTATACTCGCTCCAGAAGTTCAACTTCTGAGCGCTGGGTGGCGTCCGTAAAGGGACTCTTTTCTAGAGACTCTACCATACCGTCTTTTTTTCACGGCCTAGGCCGTGAAGTTTTACCCCCTCCTTTTTTTTTACGAACTTTTCGTGTACACTCAGACGAAATTGAGAGAGATTGTAAAAAAAAAGTCACATTCTAGCGTACCGACCGATAATTTTTAGTCTTAGTTACTATTGAGTGGCGCTAATTATTTCTCTGCTGGCAGTTTATTACGAAGCGGACCTAATGTTAATAAAATAACAACAACGCCATAAATAAATACTAATAAAAAGTAATTTACATTTTCTGGACGTGAGCAAGATTTTAAGATTAATAAAAAGATAATTAATATAAAATTAATTTTTTTTTGCCCTTGTGAAACTTCATAAAATTTAAATATGTCATTATTTGCCTCCTATCCCTCAAAAGTTAAACTTATGGAGCAATAATAACAAAAAATATTGTATGTCATTCGGCCGTTTAGTGGGAATTTTGACAACGACTTTTTTTCGATATTCGCTTTAATGTTTGTGACGCGAATGTTCGAAAACGAGCGTAAATTTCCGTCCTCGGCTACGCCTCGGACGTTAAAATTACGCCCGTTTCGAGCCTTCCCGCCACAAACCTTAAGCTCATATCGAAATATCGTCGCTGTCAGAAAACCGCCACTTCACGGCCTTATGACATAAATATCTATAAAGAATAAACAATAAGAAATTAATAAAAGTATTTTGTATAGTATTATCAAGAGATAACAACCAAATTAGATGTAAGGAAAATTAATGTATAAGTTGTTACAAGATAATTTATTACTTAAATATTTAAACTGTTAAAATTTGAAAAATAAATATTCTTTTTAAAAACTAAAAAGAAAATTGTGTTAATTTTACAAAAAAATTTTCACTGTGTTTAATTTTTCATTTTCTAAAAAACAGATAAAGAAATAAGTTCATGATTAAATGATAAATAACGGATAATACATTTAAATGCTTAGAGTAAATACGAAGAAATATATAATCGAACAAGTTATTTTTTTTTTTTTATTAATGCACGATTGAATACTTAGACATAGACTTTATTCCAATTCGTAAGTCAGTGGAAAAATCGATTTTCCTTCGTCGGAAATAGACCGTGAGAATCTACGAGCGTGTAAACGAAGAGGGTGCGGTTGAATCATTCTTGCGCTCATGATGGCTGGTGTGAGAAAACAAAAGAGACGAGTAAAAGATCCAGCGAATAGGTAGCATCACGATGAGGCTGTGAAACGGTCCATTTTATGAATTTCACTGTAGATATTCGGTCATTAGTGTGACACAGATTTTGTTTGTATTCATTCTTCTGCTTATTTACTTTTTGTTCCTAATTTTTTTCTCTACTTATGAGTAATGACTGTTTGATTCGATTTTATATTTTATTCATCGTAAATTTTTGGTATTCTCATAGTTTTAGGTCAAACTTTTTTTTTTACATCTACTCTATTAATTTTTTTAGATAATTTTTAAATTTACTTACAATTTTTATGGTCGTCGATTGCTGAGTCAAGTAATAGTAAATGATGTTTCGACAATTCGCCCAGAATATCGAAATTTCCTATCGACAGTCCTGAAACATAAAATTTACTTTATAAATCTAAAATAAAATTTATATTTAAGATTTAGAGTGGTTTAAAATTTTCTTGCAGCTTAAAACAATCAGGTTGTACAAAGTAGTAGAAAAGTTCGGTGACTTGATTACGAAAACCTGTAGTCTTACGTGACTTGAGGATAGTAAAAATAAAACCATAAAAAATCGCGCTGATAAAAAAAATAAATGCGTGACTAGAACAACAAGCAGCCATTGGCTTTTATTCTTCTCCTTAAAATTTTTACATAAGTAAATTGGTTATTTAAAAGTTAAACGTTAGAAACTGTTTATTGCTTAACATTTTTTAATGGTAGAATTCTGTTAAAAATAATGTAGAAATATTTTTTTTATATCTTTGTAAGTTGAATTCTTAAAAAAACTTATTTTTGTGTATAAACGACATTTAACCCTAAATCGTACAGTAAAATAATATTTTTTTAAGTTTAGGATTAGTCAAAAATATAATTACTCGATTGGTTCTACTAGAATAAAGAAATCGTGAAATAAAATTTCGAATAATATAAGAATTACTATGACTAGCTATTGCGATTAAAAGAATTCTTGTTTTACTATTGTTAGAAGATTTCGAAATTTGAAGAGAATAGAGCAAAAATACAGACTGTAAAAAAAGCGGTGTTAAAATGGACTCATTTTAACACCGCTGTGCAACACCGGTCAATTAACACCGGTGTTAAAATGGTTCTCGGCGGTGTTAAAAATTCGGTGTTACCGGTGTTAAATCGGTGTTACAGCGGTGTACAGTAACTCCGTATCGGTGTATTATCAGTAAAGAATTTATGAAACACTAAATAATATTGGATATTAATTAAAATTGAACAAATTAATGTTTATTTTACAATTAAACTGAAATCAAATAAAACATAAATTAACTTAATATAATAAATACAACAAGTTATTAAATATTTACAGTAATAAATGTTTAGGAACTATATAGTAGTTACATTTATCATAACATTGATGTTTTTCATAAGGTAGTGGAAATTTCAAATCCGAAAAACTAATAATTTGATGTTTTTCTTCCATTTTTTCAATTATTTTATTCGCACATAAGCTCGCATCATAACAAACAGTCTTCCATAATTTACAGTAAAATATTAAATTATTATCATTAACGAAAATATTTTTGATTTCACCGAAAATTGGTAAATCTGTTAAGTCGACATCGATACATAAAGGAATAAAATAATTTTTTTTGAAGGTAAAGTGAAATTCAAACTCTGATACTTCATAAACTACACTGCTCAGAGTTAAAGTTTCATCAGAGTTTGCTTCATTATATGGAATATTGTCAAATAAATTTCCGAGCTTCTCAAATTTTCCTTTTCCGAGTTTTAAAATATTGTCATTTTCGTTCAATTCATTCCATTTGTAGTAAATGAATATTAGTAAAAAAATTTTAAATATCAATATCTTCCTCTTTTATTATTTTTTTTATTATTTATTTCCAATTATTAAAAATGTACGGTTCGATTATAAATATTGTGTTAATTAAAATAAATTTATACCGCCAGAAAATTTATAACACCGTTTTAACACCGAAAAAAAATATTTACACCGCTAACGGTGTTACATCGGTGTTATTATAACACCAATTTCGGTGTTAAATTTAACACCGGTAATTTTAACACCGGACTTACACCGGTTTTTTTTACAGTGCAATCATATTAACTTCATTTTGCGAAAATAGTATATTACGACCCAAGGCCAGAAAGTTGGATTTCCTGGCTACGCCTCGGCCATCATATCACATACGTCAGGGCATCCAACATTCTGGTCATGGGTTGTATACTATTTTTCTTGCTCTCCAGCCGAAAGTACGCAACCCCGGGGAAGGGGTTTTGCAAAACCGAGGCGAAGCCGAGGTTTTGCCGGGGGTGAGGGGGGCATAATAAAAAAGTAAAAATTAATAAATAAAAAAAAATGTTATTTTAAAGTTTACTAACAAATGCTCTGATTGAGAGAGATAACATGCACAGAACTCGTCACAAATATTTAAACTCGATATTATAACAAAATTAATTTTTTTTAAGTTGATTAAAAATTAGTTTTTAATTAGACGGCTAAGAAAGATTGAAATTTAATTATTAGAAGCTTGTAGAGTACATGGATTGTTTTATAAACAAATCGCTTTACTATAGCTGTCAAAATATAAAAGAAAGCAAATAAAATCTACGAAACTTTTATATTTTATTTTCTAAAATTTTTATATAAATTATTTGTGCAGTATTATATTATTTTTCGTCCTAGGTGGACGTATAGGGGTTTTTACGCGCAGACGACACTCAATTTGTAAATAATACGCGTACGCGCCAGTATCTACTGGGCTGTATAGAACTTTATACAGTCGAGGACAATGTCACGTAAGCGTCACCAATCTCTATACAGCCGAGTAGCTTACGTTTCAACTGTCATTTTAAATTAAAAAGTGCACCTTTGACTAACTTCAAGACTTTCATGTATTTTTATTTAGAGGATTAGAGGGTTATGGCGTCGTACGCTATTTATTTATAAATTGAGTATCCCCTGCACGTAAAAACCCGCATACGTCCGCCATAGGACGAAAAATTTTTTAAGCACCATGGGCAAGCCATGCGCAAATACGGTCTCGGCGATAATTATTTGCAGCAGGGATATAAAGCCTCGGCCCTATCGGGCCTCGGCTTTATACTATCCCTGCTGAAAATATTTATCACCTCGACCGTATTGGCGCGTGACTCGCCCAAGGTACATAAATAACTAAAATAGTTCATTAACAATAATCTAGTAAGAAATTATTTTTATTTATTTGACACTTTTTGGTTAGTTTATGTGTTGACATGTTACATACAGACGATGTTGTGACTGTTATATACAGTCGAAACTCGCTGTATAGGCCGGTCGCACCACGAAAGTACGAAAGAAAGCGAGGCTCTGTGCTGCCGGCCAGAAAATATGCGTAGCGCGCATGCGTAGAGAGCCGGCTGAGCCGGCCATAAATGTTGCTCTTCCTGGAGTAAAGTGCATCCAGGATGAGCGTACTTTCGGCTAGGAGAGCAAGAAAAATTTTTTTCTGCCCTCCGGCCGGAAAGTGGCAACTTTCTGGCCGCTGCGCTAAACAAAGTTGCCACATTCCGGCTACGTCGAGCAGAAAAATAGTATACACACCTTGGCCAGTAAAAAGTAAAGCCTCAGATCACATGTTTGTCAACCTCGGCTTCGCCTCGGCCAACAATTACATGTGATCTGAGACTTTTCTTATTTTACTGGCCTAGGTATGTAATATACTATTTTCAAAATTTCCTTCTATAGTGCGATAACTACATTCTTCTGTTGAAAAAATTTCAAAGTATTGCATGCCTTGAGCGCGATCGCGCGAAGGCATAGCTCTACTGGGGCCTAAAAATCAAGTTTTCTATTTTGTCAAGGGAAATTGTATTTTTAATCCATCATCCTCGTACAAATTAAAAAAAAATACACTGGTGACAACAAGAATGATTATTGAACTAATTAAAAACACTGCTTAGTAAATTAATTATCAATTCTAGTGAAAAAACCCGTTTTTTAAAACTTGTGGTGGACATAACTGTCGAAATATGGTGATGTGATCAAGATAACTAAAAATGTATACAATTGTAGGACTCGTTTTTTTTTCAGCCCTGTCATTAAACTTTAATGAAGAACCCTATTCAATATCAAAGCTTGATATTGCTTCGTTTAGTTGTAATTAAAACATTTTGATTGACATTTGCACCGAATTTTCTCATTTTAGCCGGCCAAGTGTTTATTTTTTATTCTAAATAATTAATTAATTAATTTTCTTGTAATTTCTTCTAGATTAACTAATTGTTATAATTATCGTTTCAATTTATTCTGATAGTGCACAGAAGAGATAATTTTTTTTTTTATTGACCTTCTATATTGACCTTCAAAATAAAGTTATCGAAAAATTAAACGTAATATTGAGATTAATTACTTTTTTGCAAGCTCCCACTTTGCCGGCTTGTACTTCTTTGAATCATGGATTATTTTATAATTGTACTTTTTTTTTACTGTTTAAAAATGAATAAATAATTGATGAAAAAAATTTTTTTTATAACGTCCTAAGAAACACCTAGAACCGCTTCGCACTATGAGTCGTGCAATTCGGGTGTCTTCTAAAAAAAATTAACTTGGTTGAAGAGAAACATTCTTGAACCAAGAAAATAATTTTAAAGAGTAGTATTGTTTTGAATCAAGGCAAAAAATTCTTGAATCACATAAAATTTATTTAAACCCAGCAAAATTTTCCAGTTCAAGAATTTTTCTTTTTACATCGATATAATAAATCTGTTCAAAATGATTTTATTTGTTTAGAAATCTTTTCTTGAATGACCTCAATATTTATTTTTCAGTATGCAACATAATATTCTCTCAATTGAAGAATGGTTTTATTTAATTGAGAAAACTATTGCGTGCTATCAGAAATTCGAGCCGGAAGAAATTTAATACATCTTTGAAGTAATAAAATCCAAAATTGTTTAAAATTTTTGCTGAGTTCAAACCTGATGGTACCCGTTATTAAAATAAAACTTTACTTTCTTTATATCAAATTACATTTTTCGAGGAAGCGTACACGGGAAGAAAATTGAAGGAGTTATTACTATTTTACTATTGTAATTTTTACTAAATAAAATAGTAACAGTGGACTATACTTCTCATTTAGTAATTTTTACGATCTACTATTGTAAATTTTATTCAACAAATAAGACTAACAAGAGTTTTAAAAAGTCGAATACTATAGAGCAAATTATACAATATGTGTTTGTGAACTTTACAATTCAACTATTGTAAAAATTCACAGTTGGTTTTTTTAAAAGAAATATCAGGGAGGGAGGGAGGGAGAGAGATAGAAGGTTGCACAAATTGGTACCTGTACAGTAATCGAAAAAAAAAATGAATCTTTTATCTGATAAGGGGTGAGGAATCACGAGCTTAGACCTCAAGGTCTCTAGTTGCTTGATATTCAGTTTTTTATTTAATAAACTAATTAGAAAAAATTAAATTTGAATTGTTTTTGTGATTTTAAATTAAAGTTAGCAGTAATTTGAATATTTTTTTTATTTTATTTGACAAAAAAATTTTTTATAAAAATTGCATTTTTTATTTTTTTAAATTAATAAATTTCAATTTTTTTTATTGTTTTTTTTTTTTGCCATAATTGTATGTTGAATCTTTTATCTGATAAGGGGTGAGGAATCACGAGCTTAGACCTCAAGGTCTCTAGTTGCTTGATATTCAGTTTTTTATTTAATAAACTAATTAGAAAAAATTAAATTTGAATTGTTTTTGTGATTTTAAATTAAAGTTAGCAGTAATTTGAATATTTTTTTTATTTTATTTGACAAAAAAATTTTTTATAAAAATTGCATTTTTTATTTTTTTAAATTAATAAATTTCAATTTTTTTTATTGTTTTTTTTTTTTGCCATAATTGTATGTTGAATCTTTTATCTGATAAGGGGTGAGGAATCACGAGCTTAGACCTCAAGGTCTCTAGTTGCTTGATATTCAGTTTTTTATTTAATAAACTAATTAGAAAAAATTAAATTTGAATTGTTTTTGTGATTTTAAATTAAAGTTAGCAGTAATTTGAATATTTTTTTTATTTTATTTGACAAAAAAATTTTTTATAAAAATTGCATTTTTTATTTTTTTAAATTAATAAATTTCAATTTTTTTTATTGTTTTTTTTTTTTGCCATAATTGTATGTTGAATCTTTTATCTGATAAGGGGTGAGGAATCACGAGCTTAGACCTCAAGGTTTCTAGTTGCTTACACGGGAAGAAAATTGAAGGAGTTTTTACTATTTTACTATTGTAATTTTTACTAAATAAAATAGTAACGGTGGACTATACTTCTCATTTATTAATTTTTACGATCTACTATTGTAAATTTTATCGAACAAATAAGACTAGCAAGAGTTTTAAAAAGTCGTATACTATAGAGCAAATTATACAATATGTGTTTGTGAATTTTACAATTCAACTATTGTAAAAATTCATAGTTGGTTTTTTTAAAAGAAATATTAGGGAGGAAGAGAGATAGAAGGTTGGGCTAATTGGTACCTGTACAGTAATCGAAAAAAGAAACAACTATTTTCGTGCTATCTGGGAATCGAACCCAGAACTCTGTTTTGGCAGCCAGAGACTCTCCCTCTAGGCTATCCGAGGTAAACTAAGACCCATGTTCTTTAACATTTATATAAACTCAGAGTCTAGCGCTGTGCACGGCCATCGCTCTCACTAATTGACAAACATTCTAATTCAACTATTGTAAAATTTGCTATAGTTCTATTGGAAAGATACAGAGGCAGCACTGGAAATTTTCATCTCTTACTTTTTACAATAGTAATATCGTATTTTTTCATTAATAAATAGTATTTTTTCTTTTAAAATATTTGATAATTAATAGTAATAAAGGTATAGTCCAGCTTTACAATAGTTGTATCGTAAATTTTCCCAAAAATTTCTTCCCGTGTAGAAAAAGTATTGAAAACTCGAATCGATCCAATCGATATTCTGCTAATAACTCTTGCATGAACAAACTAGAAGTAAGATCTTCCAGGTGAAAGTTTTTCATCATACTTGCAGCCCTATATGCATTTATTAAGTTCAAGTTTTAATTGTTAATAATGTTTCAATAATAAGTTTAAGAAATTCCAAGTTTGACGTAAAATGATTCATATCACTTGGTGTTGTCAATAGAAAATGAACATATTTTGCCGGGAAATTTTTTTCGTAAATATTTTCCTAATGTGATGTTCATCTAAATTTTTTATTAATGTTTACCATAAATTGTCGGAAAGCTTTCATGTTTGTCTGAATTTTTAAAAAGAAAAACGTTGAATAGAATGTAATAAAAAATCGGAA